CGGTCTCGCAAACTCGAGAAATAAACTATTCATTCTTTTATTTTGGATATTCAAGAAGCGCTTGACTGCTTCCATAAGTGTCACTAGTCGTGTCGTTCATGGCAATGTGTTGGGTCCAGCACTTTTTCTCGCTTATACAAAGAATATGTGTGACACGGGAGCACATATTTATTTGCGAACGACATACAACTACTGTATTTAGTTCTACCTGACCACCTGTAGTTATGCCTCAAAAATATACGCAAGAACCCATCATTCTTAAAAAATGGAGCGAAAGCAGGTCAACGAGGTTCACAGCAGATAAATTTTAGATACTCAGCCACAGATGCAGTATACCAGAATAACCCATCACTCTTACTGGTACCGCCATCCCAAATGCTTATTCTGTTGGGGACCTTGGAATTCGATATTCAAGCAGTTCCAACTTCTCCGAACACATCACACATCAAGTAGCGAAAGCGAAGTAACTAACAAGCTACATAAATAAGTCGTTTTCAATCTCCAAAACATGGGTTGAATCGTTCTAACTCACAAAGCCACCCAGTAGATTACTACTCTTAAAATGTTTAGTAAGTTCACTGCTGCAGTTCCTGGTCTGAGATTGTATTTAAGAGCAAGTAGAAAGGTTTCTGTATAACCGTATCGATTTATGAGGGATCAAAAGCATTTGATTGCGGCGAATCGACAGCGGTATTGATATGGTGTAAATAAAAAACAGTTCATTTAAATTTTCTATACCCTTAATTCACTCCTGTTCGTTTCGCGACATCATGAGAGAGGTTTACTGGCACGAGAAATATACCTGCCATCATGATGAGGCTAGTCATCTATCTCATGGAGTCATTTACTGAAGCGGTCATATGGGGTCGAAAAAGGATTTCGTTGATCAAACTTCCGTAATGAATCCGCACGAGTACTTTTCGACGATGCATTGCGCAAATTCTACACACTTTCGACCGTGCAGTGTAATGTAAACTTGGAAGCCCTACTTTGGAAATTGTTGCGACGTCTTTTTAGTTTTAACCAAATAAACGGTGCGAAGCACAGTCCAAGTGAATGGCTTGATGAAAATGTCATGATTATTCATGTCGTTGGTTGAATCTCACATTGTTAAGATATAAACTACAGTTTGGTAGCCCAACCATCTAATGAAGAGAAACCAGGTTCAGCTCAATAGCTCTTGTGTCGATAAGGGATTGGTACCGTTTTAATCCAGGATGAGGAGCGGAAACAGGATTGGGTACTCCCATGGTAGTTTGATAGTTATCTAGATACAACCAATTTCCAGGGGCAAACACATCACGCATAAACGGGCTTGGGATGGTCGTGAGAGACTTCACATACTCATTATGAATAAACGAACTGTGCAACTGACCACCTTGGAGTAATCAGCCGCGGGAATCGAGTAGATGAAGCCCAAGCAAGTGGCTCAAAGAGTGTGATGAAAAGAATACACAGGTGGATGTGGAAGCAGATGAAAAACCGTAATCAATAAACTAGTAGAGCCATTGTGGTAGGAATTCAATAATGTGTGAAAGAATAACATCGGTTTATTGAACAGTCAAAGATCAATAAGCAGACCGCCCATATAGCATAGTAATTTATAATAAAAAAAACTCACGGCAAGGGGACAAATGACAGTAAACGTATGAACCAGTGGACTGCACCAAAGACCTGTATACCGGCTAAATAAAAGATCAGTGAAGAGACATCTACAAATCACGGATCAGTTTGTCTAAGTAGCGTGCAATGGGGGATCATGATCCAGCCTCTGAACTCAACAACAGGTTGCAAAAGCGGCGGCTCGCGAGTGACTTCGATGAAACCAAAAAAACATCAATAAACGCGGCGAAATCGGTTTACCATAACCGGTACACTCACTTGGAGTTTGTCCCAGCAAGCAGGCACAGCGCGCATGGCAGTCCAAACATCCAGATTGTATCGAGATATTTCAGGCATAATGGGATGCGGGGAGGTAAGCTTATAAGGTAGTCGATTGCCGAGGCACGTATGGTTGAGATGAGGCGAAATATAAATGCAGTGCGTCGTGGCCTTCGTACACTTGTCACTTAAATAAAAATGTTGAGATAAAAGAAGATGGATAAAATTCAAATGCTTGTTTCAACAACACGGATAGTGAGAAGAGCAATGCAAAGGAGGCAAGGACCACAATTAAAAGGAAAAAAACTAAAAAGCAGAAAACAAAATGTACACGAAGGCAGTTAAGCAATATATATATATATATATATATATATATATATATATATATATATAATTAATGTTCGTATCCTATGATGAGGCTAAGGTTGCATTCTTGCTGCTTCTTCACCGCAGTTGGGCTAAACCAACTTACACTTAAACTACGTCATTTTAAGCTGGATAAATTGCATCCCACTTTATTTGGTTTGCTCTGACTACCTGAATAATCTTCTGTTAAGTTGCACAAGTTGCTTACGCTAATTGTGGTTATCTTCGTTAAGTATATCGCGTTTATGGCATTTTTTGAACAACTTGTGGACATTTTGTACTTTCGCGGATTCGTTGTTAACCAACGTACTTCATACGCTAATTTAGCATTTGTCGGCATAGCCGTACGCTTTAACAGATAAATTATATTTCATAATGTTATTTCAAGTGATTGGCAGTTGCTTGATATCCCGGTATGGCTGTATTTGATGTTCATGTTGACAAGGTGCCTACCTGTCTATTATCCACCACCTCATCCATACTGGCTTCAGGAGGCTGTTGGTTGTTGCTGGAGGGGACGGAGTGCACGGTCCTTGTGGCCGTGCTAGGCTCAAAGAGCGGTTCCATGCACACAGTGTGGAGCGGACTACGGTCCAGCCACCGCCTTGTGTGCGCTTGATTCCCAAATACAGCGTGCTTGTGTTTGTCTGTGAAGGAGTGTGGGCCGGCTCCGTTGGTTAAACTTGGCTCCCATCCACATGCCTTCTGGTCTTATTCCTTCGCGTTTACACTGGATATGGGGTGTGCGGATGGAGCTGTGGGTGGTGCAGCGCAAGCCATCCATGGTCCCTCTGTAGGCACAGGCGTCCTGTGGCTGGCCACAGTGACAGGCAAATCCGAAACCGGATGCCGCCAATCATGGATATGGTTGGCGGCATCTAGTGACGGATTTCTTTGTCACAGTGGGCTGCATGGGGACAGTCATAGGACGCCTGCGCCTACACATGGATCATGAGTGCTTTGCATCGAACCACCAACACACCCCATATCCGGTGTAAACCGGGAGGCACGTGATTGGGAACCACGTTTCATCAACGAAGGCGGTCTACACTCCTTCAACATGCACGGCAGCATTCATATCTGTTTGGGAAAATAGGCGGTGGCTAGGCCGTAGCCCATCTCACACAGGATGGGACCACTGAACTTAACACCATCACAAGAACGGTGCACCCTGTTCCTCCCACCAACGATGTAGTCTTCTGGAACCAGTAAAAACGAGGAGGGTAATAGGCAGATAGGCACCTTGTCAAGATTCACATTGAGCGCAACCAAGCACGGTATATTACACGTGATGTATCATGTGCCAAGTACACGTCCAAGAGAGAATCAGTCGAGATTAGCCCGACTGAGACGACAGAGCACATTATTTGCTTCAATGGCCTCGATCTTAGCAACAGCCCAATGGCAGCTCAAATTCAGCATAAGCACGTGTACTCACACGGATTTGTCCACACTTGTGTATAAACTACCACAAACTGAATGGAGAAACACTAACCCCCATGGACAATTGTACTACGAACGTGCATGGACTTAAATAAAAGTAAGACTAACAGATATATTCGTCAAGTTATTAGAAATCACACGAATAATTAACCAATAGGAATTGTCCGTGGTGATTTAAGGTATAGAAGTAAACCTAAATTATAGCTATAAACTTAGTCAGAGGCGTGGGCATCAATAACGGAGACAGGTATGGGAACAGCAAATGCCATCAATACGGTTGTCAGGTGAGATGATACAAAAATAAGAGGTACAAGAAAACAGTGATGACCTATCCAGAACCTTTCGGGTCCAACCATATTGGTGGTTTCCTGCTGAACAACGCAGTTCGTGAGGAGCTGGGTGTAATTGTATCCGCGAGACTGAAAACAATAACGCACACAATGTGGAAAGTCATCTATGCCAATAATATACTCTGCGCCACAGAAAGGTTATTCTAGAAAATAGCGCCCGAGATCTTCAAGCTCTTGTTTCCCTATCACGTCCGTCCAATACTGGTATATGGATTACTTGCCATATACCCTCTAAAGAAGTGTGCACTGATCGGGAATGTTCAGAGGCGTGGAATCAAAGGCTGCGTCCGTGTTGCGTGATTTATCATATCCCCTTCGACTTCAGCGCATGAACTTGTTTTCTCTGGACTACCTTAGTCGCTGTAGGCATCTGATTTATACTAGACTAGGTATGGAGGTGCAACAAATTTTCCAGCTTAATGTGGATAACTCTAAAAAGTAGGGAGCTGCTTAAACCACTGAGACTCCACGTCCGCTCCGACGTCACGTTATCCACCCCGGAATGTTCAGTCAGTGCCCAGACAGAGGAATGTTTCAAGTAGCGGTGGGATAACCACACGCTGAAAACCCCTGGATTCCACTGTTGTTGCTGCAGCTGAAATGATTCCTCAGGAAAAACAGTTTAGCAACGACATGCATCATCCAGTTAACGAATGGGTTTTCCCTTCTATGCTCAGAACACTAGGAAACTATGACTACGGATACGCTATCGCTTATGCCAGAAAGCCTCAATTTTATCAAACATCGTGAAGAACGTATAGATGTTGAAGTGCAACAACGCAACGGTACATTAAGTGAGCTTTATCCCGATAAAAACACACGAAATAAGGGCGTTTAACAGATCGCGGTTAGGGCGATACTAAGCTCAAATGCACCGTTTGATACAGTTGTGCATCTTTGTGGACACATCTAAGCATAGGTGGCGTGACGACTGTGCCTTTGCAATGATCAATCACTTTTACTCATGACTAATATACCGCAAGAAAAGGTGCATATTTGTTCAAAAAGCAATGAGACCTGTGGAAATGGACATAACTGCTTAAACTGGGCTGGTTTACAACTCATCTTAACAGTGATTGTCTATCCAAGGCGATGAAGGGCCTCTTAAAAGTCATATTAAAAGAGACCACATGACAGACAGTGACAGGTGCAAAGAACAAATGAAGTTAATACATGGTAAAATGAAATAACCAGCAATACGACAGACGAACGACTATAGCTATATTCGATGGAGAAGCTTGAGGTAACAGAGAAGTGGATACATAAGTCTGAAGTCGTTTGATAAAACAAGCCGCAATGAGATATAAAGATTTACGGCGAAAAAGCTTATCTCGACCAAACAGCCGAGAAAAGGGTAGCGGAAGGAGCGACGAATGCAGTAAGTGGAAATATAACTTACTTTATGTTGCCCAGGGTAGCTGAATTTTGCGCATAGATAATGCCGAAATCAAGAAAAACGAAGGTAACAAATACTGCGTTCAATGTTACGAGCTTCCTAGCAATGCCGTGGGCAACCCAAGCATACTTCATGATGACCCAGCGTGACGTCAAGCTGTCGTACACAATTCTCAACCAGTTACGATCTCACTCCGCGACATTGTATATCATCTGCAAGGAGCAGGCTCAAACCGTAACAAACATAACAGCCTGAAAAAAGGAACACAAAAAGCTATTAGATTAAAAGATAATGTTGATTAAGGATTCAACAAGTTTAACGGGATGATACTGCAGTTCAAGCCCTATAGGCCTAAATCCACATAATCTGTTCCGAGCCCGTTTCTTCACTTATGCTGTACTAGGGTGTTGATTTGCCATGATGGCACAACAGCGAAGCATTGGGGCACGGGATGATGCCAGTCAGAGTGTCTAAGTGGATGAGAAGTTTCTATTGCATAAGGTCAAAGAAAAGTCACTGGTAGCCAGTAACAAAATGCCAATGCAACACAAGTCAGTCTTGACCAGCATAATAAAAGAAGCAAATAGGCGATGGCGAATATGAGGTGCATAGTCGATCGGACACACGTATGAAACAAACGGATAAATAGAGATATACTTCTTTGAATTTGAGACGGTTCTGTGACCGTCTTGATTTACAATGCTAGATGCCGCAGCTGAGTAGTTCGGAATGCCTCACAGCAGACTTAACTCTCGCCTGACTGCCATGTTCTAGTTAAGCGTAAAGTCTATTGCATGCTACAGATCCTGCGTAGTGTATGGTGCAAAGGAAAACGACTTACGTACAAATAAGAAGCCACTGGCTCTGTGATAACAATAAATCGCCGATAGTAGACGAGCTGCACTCTGTGGAAGTGCCAAGTTCGAAGACTGACTTCATCAATGAACGTTTAGGCTGAATGATTTAGCCAGTGCAACAGAAGTGAGCGGAAAGGAGCTGACTTAGAATGGAGGTAATACTAAAGAAACGCAAGTGTCCAAGCAGTGCACATGGTGCATAAATTACATGGGCGTCGTTATGAGTTTAGAGCATCACCAGGCGGATGCATGGACGAGATGCATTTTGGTAATACCACTTTCCCGAGTACACAATGAGTCTTTTCCGATGAGATAGAGTTTTAAAATTGATTTGCAGTTGATGTATCGCGTTAATAGGAGCAAATCAAGTTTTCCGGAAATATGGTAACCCTTCGTTTGGTGATTAAAAAAGACCTAGGCAACATATGGTTGATGGTGGTGATTTCCTAACAGAACAATGACCCATTGACGTCCTTATGAAGCCAGCGAGTCAAAGCAAGAAAGCCCCGCCACAACCACTGTGTAACGGATGTGTCAGGCTCTTCACGAGTGAGTAGAACAAGAGTCAAGGTATCAGGCATGAAATGTACAATTAGGGATAGTCCCATGTGAGGTGTGAAAAAGGTCACCCTATCTGTGGTACATAACGAGGCGAATAAACGAAATTACAGTACCGCTGGCGCCAGCCATTTTTCACACTCCCGGCCCGTGGCCTTGAGGAGCACAAGCTTGCATGTAGTCCAAAGGCGCGTGTTCGAGCCTGCATAGAGGACCGGGCGACCCTCGCAGTATCGTTAGCACACGAACTACTGGTAGTGGTTGCGCGGCAGCGAAGCGTCGGTACCGCATAAAAGAGAACTTCTAAGACCCATCGTTTCTTTTTTCTACCAGTCCACATGTACTCCCAAGGGAACGACTTCTTGACTTGGAGTATGCAGAAGATATTGTCTTCATTTGTGACAGCTCTCAGACGTGCCAAACGGCACTGGACAGATTAGCACTGGCTGTCAGCCGCTTCGGGATTTGCTTTGCACCGTCGAAGTGCAAAGTGTTCCTCCAAGATTGGCAGAGATCGCCTTCTGCGCTGAACCTTGTTGGGGATCAGTTAAATCTCGTTCAGAAATTCAACTACCTGGGAAGTAGTATCAGGTTCCGTGGGATTGAAGATGAATTCATGGACCGTTTATCAAACGCTCGAAGTGCTTTGCTAAATTTGGCTAGCAATGGCGGCGGCGCGACATCACTCTCGCCCTGAAGGGTAGTGTACAATACAGCCGTACCTTCGACCTTACTATACGGGTGCGAAATCTGAACCCTTTTGATCAGCGGACAGAAAGATGCTAGTTACCTTCGACCATCGGTGCCTTTTCAGTTTAGCTAACATGTGGTGGGAACACCGCGTGAGCAACGAACCTGTTCGATGCATTGTTTACGACACAGGAAAAGGATCTGAACCGCTCAGCACCGTTATTTCCCTCACCAGGCTCCGACGGCTAGGCCACGTGTTACGCATGCCAGCCCACCGACTCCCTCGACGTGCGTTGTTTGCTCACCGGGGGTCTGGATAGAAAAAGAGGAGGAGTGGCCAAGCGATGACTTGCTCGAGAGAAATGAAAGCATTTACTTGGGAGCTGGCCTCGGTTGGAGCTTCACGGCTCCCTAGTTGGGGTCCAAAAAACGATGGACACGCTTGGCTAGGTACACTAGCTGAAATGCCTAGCAGCCGACATCAGTGGCGTTCCTGCTGTGAGTTTCTTCGTCCCTCCCCATCCTTTTAGCCTCTCCTACAAGCACCATCTCATTTCGTAGCGTAACATACATTTACATACTAATTTTTCGTGTTGCCTAGTAGCCGGCTGATAGCTTACTTGAACAATGCTCATCCGTTGCTAGTAGCTCAGCTGGCATGCAACTGCTTTATATCTTTTTTGCTCATAATATTGTGGCACAATAGCTGAGGTGCCTTACACCTCAAGCTGACGTGTATATTGGTGATGATGATGATGATGACGATGATGATGAGTACGTATGGTTATGTAATCTCGCGATCCTTCGTCAAGTTCAGTCTGTTGTTGCGCATGGCTGAGATCCAATTTAGCAAAAACCTCACCACCAGATTGTGACACTTAAATATCGCTCCTTGACAGCGTGCATCGGTCAAGCCTTACTGACAAGCCTTAAAGTCATCACGAAGAAGGAATTCGAAAAGCTGAAGCTTTCAGGTGGACACCTACCGAAATTATATGGCCTACCTAAAGTTCACAAGGAAGGCGCCCCAATGCGCCCAATCTTGGACATGGTGGGTTCTCCTCAGCATTTGTTGGCCCAGTGGATAGGTGGCGAAGCTGCAGACGTTACGGAATTTGGTTTGTACTTACTGCGTGTGAGACACGTTCGAATTCATTGAGAGGATATCTGAAAGCAACCTTGTTAACAAAAGGATGATATCATTCGATGCCCAGTCGTTGTTCACAAACATTCCATTGCTCGAAACCGTGGATTACGTATGCGAGCTTGCTCGGCAACTGCCCATATACACAACTTTTCAGGAGACTTTGCTAAAGGAGGTGTTACTTCGTTGCACTTTAAATGTTCATTTCACTTTCAATGGTGAAATGTACCGTCAGATTGACGGAGCGGCCATGGGATCTCCTTTGGGGCCGCTGCTGGCTGATATATTCATGGCGAAATTGGAATATGGCCCACTTGCAACGCACATACGTGAAACCGAAATGTACGTACGGTATGTGGATGACACCTTCGTACTTTGCAAATCCGAAAAGCATGCGGAACAGTTGCTGAAAGCTTTCAATGACGCACACAGGAATCTCCATTTCACTTGTGAACACGAACTCGGAAACCGGTTACCTTTCTTGGATGTATAAGTTATCCGTAACTCAGACGGATCATGCAGCAGAAAGGTACACAGAAAGCACACATGGACTGGGCAGTACACTAACTTCCACAGCGCAGTACCACTACAGCATAAGCGGAGTTTGATCAGATCTCTCGCCTTCAGGGCGCGCAGTATTTGTACACCGGATACCGTCAACGAAGAACTACAGAGAATCAGCGACGCCCTCAGGGAAAATGGCTATCCGGATAAATTTATCATGAAACATTTGAAGGAACGTAATCGAAAGCCACCTAGGAGCATTGCTCCTAAGAAAGAGCTTTTCATACGTATACCATTTAAGAGCGATTCTGCAGCTGATATGTTATCCAGACGCCTGAATGATGCTGTCGAGAAAACTTATTTCGCGGCCCGCCTGAGAATCGTTTTTTACAATAAGCCGTTGCTTAAACCCCCTCAAGGATAGACCACCGCCGTTGACACGTTCAATGATTATTTATCAGTACTCGTGCTTCTGTGTTGCACGACACATGGGTCGCACGACGAGACGCCTATCTCAGAGGGTTCGTGAACACATCCCGGCATGGTTTTACAGAGGCGAAATGAGGTCTTCAGACAGCTCTATCATGTCGCACCTCCTTGAATGTGGCCATACAGCTTCAGAGAATGACTTCAAAGTCATTTACTCATTACCTGAACACTTCTCCCAAGGATTCCGCAAACAGCTCTTATCCATCGCCGAGGCTATGTACATTCACCATCTAAAGCCGGAATTATGTGTCCAAAAACGATTTATACGGCCGATATTACTACCTTGGCCAACGGACACCGTTACTTAGTTATTTGGCCGTCATCTTACCTACTTAATTACCTTGTACTAATGAGCCTTGTGTACACATGTTTATTTAGTTTACTTGGTCTACCATCTCTATCTCTGTCTCAAGTTATCGATTTTGGTCATTCAAACAGTCAAGAAGTCAATCCCAGCCCCAGTTGACGCTATATCCACAATCACTGTTATGTAAAAGTTTGGGTCTGATGAGATTTACCGAAAAGAATTCTTTACCCTGAAATGATTTCTGATATTGATTCATACAATGACATTCCCAAAACATCCGTCATCACTACTTCAGGCTTGTTTGAATTCTGAAGAATGCCATTTGGACTGTGCAACACCGCACAAAACTCACAACCCTTCATCCAGGACATCACTCATGGCCTAGACTTCGCTACTTCTACCTCGATGATATTTTAGTAGCAAGTTCATAGGAACAAGAGCATCTCGAGCTTCTTCGAGTTCTCTTCCAGCGCTTAACCCAAAACGGTGTCACAGTCAACCCGACTAAGTACGAGCTCGCCAAATCAACGGTAGAATCCTTAGTCCACCTCGTTTCATCGTCCGGTATCGAAGTCCTTCCTAATT